TAATAATAATAATAATAATAATAATAAAAATAATGACAGAGGCATACGTAAGTGCCTCGCCTTGCCTGTTACTAGCTTCGCGTGTATAATACAGCCCTGGTAAACCTAACAAAATGGGCTTAATACATATAGAAGAACTTAAGACAAATGACTAAAAGTATCAAGACGGTATAGATCTCACATATAAATACCGATTTCTAACCATTGGGGAATTATTTTCCCATTATTTATTATTATTATTATTATTATTATTATTATTATTATCTATTGGTATCTACTATAATTTTGTAAAAATATAATATTTATCCTGCAAGTGTTCCATGTTACTTTCGCATTTTTCTGATATCGAAAGACTCAAACTGTATGGGCTTGTATTCTGTGAATATTCGATGCAATCCATAGTTTCGCAGAGGGTTTTACAAGAGTGTTATTGCCTGTTTTGAGTGTCACACTACCTTTACTCTTTTTTTTGTTCTGATTTTTCTTTTTTTTTTAATTTTTTTAAATTAATCGGTTGTTTGCACCTTCGCTTCTTTCAGCTAAGTACTTTGTAGAATTCTCCGCACAACGAACACAGTGAAGCTTTTGATAGTGTTTGTAGTGTTTGTGCTTGTTCAAACACAAATTCAGCGGCCATTAAAACGCTAAAACATGTTAAAAGCCTTTACAAATTGTTCTGTTATTGTTATTGACTTAAACGTTGTGAAAATGGAATCGCCGTTAAGTGGACCTAATATTTGTCACTGTATTAAAGCAGGCCCTTAGTTTTCTGTATGGTATAACGTGGCGTAATTCTGCGAAAACTGGAGATTCGATTCAGACAGTTGGAGATCGGTATAACTTGAAAGGCACAGAACGTTTAAGTTATTTCTCTCCCCTAGAAGTTCCTATTTTGTTTTGAAGACGTCCTCTCAAGCTTGCTCTCTTTTCACTGGAGCGTTATAGGAAGGAAGCTTTTCACATCGATTAAATTGAAAGTCATAGTTACTCCCTGAAGACAACAAATACATCTTTGCATGCTAGTGGCTTTTTAGACACATTTCCATCTTATTGAACTGTCATTCCTTTCATTTTAATTCTCACCTTCCCGCTGAGTTTTCGATAGAAAGCACAGGAAGGGTTCTAGACAAATTAAATTCAGACGCGCATGAGGACTATTTGGAAAAAGTCAATAAAAGAAAGCACCTAACCATTGAGCATCATTGAACCTCATTTTCAATTACTTTTCTTCACTCTGTAATAAACTTCCTTTAAATTTTTGACAATAATAATAATTTTTAATATGTTAATTTCTAATCAAATTATAAACTAATATGTCTCTGGCAAGTCTTTAATCCATCAAATTGTTCACACTTTTTAAATCGTCTTAAACTTTCATTTTAATCATCGTTAAAGTCTATTATGGCAGCTGTGTGTTAACAAAACCTGCCTCAAAATTCGTAATCGTCGGCCCATTCGGATAGTCGGTCATTATTTGACGTTTTTAATATTTGGTTTTCTACACTCTTGTGTCTATCCACTTCCCGGGCTTTGTTGACATTTAAATGTCTCTTCTGAGGACTGACAAGCTAAATTATTTCCTCGAATACATATGCAAATGAATGAAGTTTATATTTTCTACTGCAATTGCACCCAAATACAGCGTACATAATGTGTTGATGAATTTTTGCACCTCAGCAAAATGGGATCCAAAACGATAAATAATCAATACTCACATTCACTATACTGTGTTCTTGGTTGAAAGACCTCAAGGCTTTCAAGTAAGGTAAGGAAACACGATAGAATAGTTTACTGCTCTGAAAGTCACTTAATACTATATTTATTTCCAGGATTGAATGTAGAAAAATATATGTTAATTGGAATCAGGTAGACTATGACTTCCCATATCTGCCGTGCAATAACATTGCAATACAAGGGCGAGATAATCTGGCTAAAACCATTGGACAGACACGACAATGCTCCCTGTTTATCAATTCGTGGTACTCGGAATTCAATTTGAGCAATAACCAAATTGCAACAATTGTGAGATGCTCGAAATTTGGTACTGATTTGCAATGGTCACTTTGAGATTGAAATGCGTGAAGCATATGTACTTTCTTTTAATTTTATCTTTTTGTCTCGTAACGGGAGCAAAAGGTCTGTTTGAAAATAGAATCAAACCAGCGAACACCAATAAATTATCATCAAAGTTCAAAGTTTTTTTGCTCATCTAAACAACACCAACTGAATCCATAGTTTTTGATAACTAGGAATTAAAACTCAAAATCTTTAAGCCTCGAACCGCCTGAAGTCAACACTCGAGTGTAATTTTCTCAGGACACTTCCCTCAAGAGCGTCGACCGATTGATTCATGTTCTTCAAAGAGACCGTGTCATTGTTTACATTTGGAAAAAGCTCTTCATAGCTTTTCATTGGTAAAATTTTACGTTTTACCGTGCCGAAAGTCGATGTTTGATTTAAATCTGCAGCCAAAATTTGGGTCATAAGGGAAAACAACAGTAACTTAGTAATGTCGAGGAAAAGGTTGTTGTTATTCATCGTGGTAGATGCAATAATAAAGTGTATTATCGTTTGNTACCGTGCAATCAGTCGACCTTATCGCCTGCAGAAGACTAGCAGTAAGCAGTCGAAACGTCGCGATCTACATCTCAAGTGACTACATCGTGAGACAAACGATAATACACTTTATTAATAACTTAGTAAATTGCAAGCAATTTTTGCTGTTGAAATTTATGTTACTATCAGCTGCAGGCAAGAACAACATTTCTTCCAACTGTAAGTTGGATATCGTCTCAGTTGATGTATCTATTTCTAAACACTTTCAATAAAGAGGAAAAGCTAAATTTTTAGATAAAATATTCTTTTTTATAATGGAAACACCAAATGTGTCATTCTTCTAGTACAATCAATATGTGAATCCTGATCGAGAATTTAATTGAAGTTCAAAGATATTAAAATGTCGGAACTTTGTGTAAATTAAAAATTACATCTGCCATTTGTATAAGACAGTCTGATATATCAAAAACTCTAGAAGGTTCAAAAAACTATTACGTTTTAATTGCCAGCGACTCTGAAAATTGGAAAACAATTTGCATGCTACGTTGTTTACGCAAGCCTTTCGAGGAATTATCTAGCGAACCAATGAAAATTGGTGTTTTGATTCATTTAAAGAATGGGGAAACAAAGCACTTAATAAAACGCTGCGATAAACACAATGTTAAAAGGTTTTTATTTCAAGCTATAATTATTGCGAAATATAATTTACCTATTATTTGGGTTTCCAAAGCTAGGCAGTGAAAATGCCTACAAATCATCTGTGGACAATGGAACAATATAAGATTTCTTCGTCTGGCCTTTAAAACCAGCTGATGTATTTAATTTTCGCATCCACTTCAGATGCCTAATAACTTTTAAAAGAAGAAGATAGCCCAAGGTAGATGTGTGCACTTTGGTCAGCCTCATCGAAATCTAATGTGTATTTAAAAAGTTAATTCATTATATAAGGCTGCGAGGATAAGGAAGTTTTAACAGACCAGAGTCCAAACCATGAAACCAAGATTTTTGTTATCGACTGGAAGAAGAACATAGAACTTTTACCAGAACAGGCCTATTCCCATGTCTTTCCCAGACCATGCGGCATTTAAGACGCGCATTAGCATAAGTATGTGTATGTAAGCCAGTGGAGACACCAGAAAACCACCATAAGCATAAGCGCAAGAGGTGCGAACATGTTCCTTTTCTTCTGAAGCTCATATATTGTTTCTATGTTGCAACAAGAACGCGGTTGAAATAAGAATAAGCATAAATCCAAGGCAGTCAACCAATCAAACTCGCTTTGATCCAGGCGCCTTCGAAAATATTAGACAGCATGGCAGACTCCGTCATATTTTTTTTAACTATCGAGGTAGGCTAGAATCCATTCTCGTCTCCAGGGCAACACTTTTTTGGCGAGAATGAGCTGGTATCGAGACTCCTGTTTATTCGGCTCTTGGTTATGTCATTATGCTTATGTTCTTGAGTCCCCACTTGCTTATGATTACTCTTCCGCTTACATCTGCTTCTACTTCTGCTTCTGCTCGTCTGCTAGTTGAAACCAGCCTTAAGATTTTTTGCCAGTTGCAATTTTATTAAGTTATCTATCTTTCATAACCTCACTGCTATGTTTAACTACTTTGAATGGGGGAGAGGCCCGGAATAGTGGTATCTAGACATTATTCTTTCTTTTACCAAAATAAACGTTTTTTAGGTATTAACAAGTTTTCAACTTATGGAGGTCTTGCCGTGACAAACATTTCGACAAAATACCGACAACAGTTAGCTTGCGTACAGACTATTTTGTTTAAATCCGTATGATACAAAGGAAGCAGTCTTTACGCAGGCTAACAATAGTCACGAAACTTTACGTAATGTTTAATAATCGAACCCTGGGTTCGATTTCTGACAGCGCAAAAGAGAAAGAGCTCTCCAGAAATTAAGAATACAAACAATAATGGAATATCCTTTAAAGGTTTTTCTAAAAGACATATTATTATTCACATCCCTTTTATACAGAGCCTTTAAAAGCATTAAATAAAGGTACAATTGTTTCACACTCTAAAACCTAGTAGTTTCTCATTCCAAATCAAAATAAAAACCAACTGATCACCGCAGTATGAGCAGTTTCGGAACGTGTAACATTTCTATGCCTTAGAAAAGTAAAAAAACACCGAATGTATTCAACACCTCACAACCGATCTTTTATGTTTCAGGACACAAGCTAATTTTTTTTAAATTTCAATTCAAATTGTAAAAAAAATGAAGGTTTTAATTTCATTTTTCACCGCAGTACCGTACAGGGAGAATATCGTACCTCACTAAATTCGTTCTGTGTTAAAAAGACGAAATGATGATATTCGCAACGTTTGGCGCTAGAGCATCAGTGAAAATAAACACAATAAAATTACTTTAAATGTTCCTTGGCAGCAGAAAGTAATTAAAAAATTTATCGACATCTGTCTCTTGCTGAGTCCTGTGTTTAAACACATCCTGGGGGTAATTAACACGGCTTTGGAATGTCAGTATTGCTTTCACTAAAATTTGTCCATCTCTTATCAGCCCATCCGAAGGGCAATCAAACCCGCTTCATTAAAGAAATGTCGCGTGAACAATACATCTTCCGAAACCTTGCAGTTTCAAAGAATCTTCATCTAATCTTTTGCATAATATTACCATAAACTGCAACTGAATTTTGTCCCTTTACCATAAACTGCAACTGTATTCTGTCCCTTTCACGATAAATGCATAAATTATAAAGCAACCTTCGATTCTGTTAATTTTCTACATCATAGTCCTTTTTCCAAAATGAACACTTAATGTCGTCTCACAATGCGGTTTGTTTCTGTCATTGCTATTGCACATTGTGTTGAGAATACAATACGGACTCCAGGGACATATTAAAGTTCGCACCAGGAATTAACTGTCAGAATATTGACGATCAATTAGCAGAGTAGAGGGCTGCTATTCAAATTCAAATCACCTTGACAAGTTCCCGTCAGTTTAGCCAGCCCCCATGTCACTATGAGAAAGACTGCAATGCTGAAAGAATCGCAAGCTGATAATTCCCATTGCAAGAGTTACCAACGTTTACCGTAAATGTTATACCGCAAGCTGATTGTTATTATTTAGCAATATTCTGGAAAATAGAGGGATACTAAGAAAGCCTGAAAAGCGGCCAAATGGTGAGTAAGTCGCTAATTCTTCTTTTTCGTGATTTGACTGTAATCGCTTCCAGACCAATTTTCGTTCTTCGATTGAAATATTTATGAAAACATGCTGGACGAATTATGAAAAGCATAATTTCGTTCTATTTGAAAAATATGTATGTATTTATTTAGATGAAAACAATCGAACCTCGTAGAAGGCCAAGAGTTCATAATTTAGAGAAAAAGAAAGCTTTCTTCATCTCCTCAGCAAATTGCGAAACTCAAGTCGTTTAATATTAGGAGTTTTCAAATATTGTTTGCGTTACTAGTGCAAAAACTAACAGCTCGAGTATCATGAAAACAACGGTGCACAATTTTGGTCAAAATTTTCAGTTCACCATATTATTGAGTAGTCGTTTACTAAAGATCACACACGCAAGATTGAAATTTTTTTCATATATTTATAAAAACGCTAGTATACAAAACATCAGGGAATAAGATTATTATTATTAGTAATGTAAAATAGCTTAAACAGTTTGAAGTAAAGCCATTAGGGAACTTCTAGCGTATAAGGGTGGTGTTAAATTTCAGCTCCGTCTTTGTATTAAGACTTATTACTAAAATGAGAAAGTATAGAAAGAAAACTGAGAAATCGTAAATGGCTTCTGGAACTAAACGTTAACAGTTTAAATCTATTTTATTTCCAGTGTTAATTATACCTTCCAAATTTTAATGAGTTGGCAGATGGATCCAAAATTTATACCAAAATATCAGATGGCTTTCAGTATTTCGAAAGAACCTAGCTTGTTAAAATTGTGATCCTTTAGTTGGCACAAAAAAAATGTTTTTTGCTTACAGAAACGCTAAAGCCCGAAGGAAAATTACTGTGAAGTATATTTAGTTTGTATCGCATGAGCCGTAATTATAACCAGGAGTAATATATAAATTTACAAGTGTTGCATAGCTATTAATTATCATGGCTATTTTACATAATTTTCCGCCAGACAAAAATGAATGAATATTTCACAAAGCAACATTACTGAAAGTGGTCTCATTTCTTTCTTACTCTAAAATATTATGATGTCTCAAATGCGAAAAAAGCGAAAAATAAAACAATGTCTATTAACCAATGGTAGATAATAAATACAACTTTTCAATCGAGCACTTTTGTGTATGTACCTCTTCTGACACACAAGGCGAATTTGATCGAACCACTGTTGGTGTTTTGTCGAGACATATTATATGATAATATACATATTATACCAATGTCACACAGGACTAATATGTTGCCGAAGCGTAGATTGCCGTTGTCAGTCTAATGGTCAAGTCAATAAGGCACCAAATGAGAAAATCCCCCGGCTTCTTAAACCTCGCCTTTGTTTATCGGTTTTTGTTATTTTCTATTTTCTCGACGTTATTTTCTGCGTTCTATTTTTCTATTTTGACCGAAATGAGGGATGGTACATTTGGTTTCTTAAAGCTGACCCCTTGGAATAAAGGTATTATTTTGTTTCTGAAATATACTTGCAGCATTTTACGTAAGTAATTTGCGGTTTATACCGCTGTGATTCTCGGTACGAGGTTTCGTTAAATGAGTCTTGCCCGTCTGTCGTCTACACTCCGTTTTAGTTTGGTTTTGAAAAAACAAAATTAAGAATTCAAAGTAACAGTTTTCTTTTGCTGCTTTTATCGTTTTAAACAATTAGCGTCCTTTTATAATGCGCTCGTACTTTTGCTGAGTAATTTCGTCTCAACATTATCAAAGTAGACATGAATCTATAATCCAAAGCTACTTCGACAAGTTTATGACGCAGTTTATGATCTATAACAGGGCAAACGTTGCCGTACATTTGTAAGTCTTTAGGTGGAATTTGTCTCACTGTACGCTAAAGAGAAATTGCAGCATCAGTAAATCTCTCACTATAATACGCCGCAAACATCATCAATAAGTAGAAATCTTTGGAGAAGATAAAGAGGATATTACACGGTAGCGAGAAGATATGATTTTTATGTTCGAATGGGAAGAACAATAATAGTGACATTTAGCACCACGGTTTTTAGCAGAAACCTGAAACGGCAAACAGCCAGAGGTCACGTGACCGAGCTCTGCGGTCACGTTTGGAGTTCTGAACGCGGGTCTTTAACGCCGATAAGTAGGTTTTCGCTTTTAATTGAAAACCTACTTAAAAGTGATTTACCTGAGCTTTTTTATCCTGAATTTCTGTTTATGCAACGTACCAATAAGAAAATTATACAAACTAGTCTCTTAACTACATGTTTAGATGTAATTTTTAGCAAACGAGTGAAAATAGGTCTTTTTGTTGTCATTTGCAAATCAAACACTGCCGTTGTCTGGAAAATCAATATAGTGAAATTTCATGATTTTACAGCTAAGCCGCTAAATCTTGCCGCACGAACATAAAATCGTGTCTACGTACTAACGTGTTATGTTCTTTTGTTATATGGAGAATAAAAATACATCACATCCTATCCGTCTTTCAAATTCACAGACAAAGCATGACGTATTTGATGGTTGCCTGCCGTTCCAGGGGCATAATATCTCCGATATTGTTGGTTTTCAACGGTCACGTGATCAAAACTAAATCTCGTAACCATTCAATGAATAAAGTCAAGAATCTTGGATATGATAGATGATTCATATATAAAAAACATCGCCAAGACTTAGGTCTCTGCTGATTTTCTTTCGCGCGTTCTTCGGAAAAGTGTTCCGGCCAAATTTATAGAGCTTTGTATGAAGACACAAGTATGGAGGGGCACAAATGTGGCGGCTGTAAAGTAACAGGAACATCTGTCATTGAGTTTTGCTATTGAAATGAAGTCATTTCTCCAGAGCTCCGACACGCTGAAATTAATACTTCTTCTAGTAAAAGTAATGTTCAGTTAGCAAAAAATAAAGCGATAACTCATCTTTTGACCTACGTGAAAGCCTTCTCGGGCCACCATTTAATGTCACGCAACGTAAAAGCTTGGAAATTCAAACGTGCTCTATTACAAACTGAAGAACCGTGTCGAACTAAAACGTTGTAAAACGTCAAGATCCTAAAGGGTCTTATATGTAATAAAAAAACTAAAACTTCCGAAAAAAAGGTAATTTTTAATTTTGGAATATGACTAGGTCGCATGAAAACGGCCAAGAATTTTTGTTTTCTTGTCAAGTTTCAAGGAGTTTCCTGAAAACGTTTACGTCGTTTTTCGCTGTTTTCGCTTTTCGCGTCTTCATCTGTTGAGAAAACACAATTACTTCGTCGTCACTCAACAAAAAAAAAATTACAAGCAGTCGCCTTTATTTCGTACAACAAACTAAGTTCATTCAACAAAATTTGCAACGGTGGGAATCGTGACGTCATTTGTCGATATGTCACTCGCAATAGTGAAATACGGAAAATACACCACTCGGGTCCCATATGTACCTACTCATGGATTCAACAAGTGTTTTAATTTTCAGTAAAACACTCCTGTCTACATAATAGACTGTGTTACATGCCTGAAGGGTTTCGAAGGGTTTATTTTCAAGATTTCGTNTACTCATGGATTCAACAAGTGTTTTAATTTTCAGTAAAACACTCCTGTCTACATAATAGATTGTGTTACATGCCTGAAGGGTTTCGAAGGGTTTATTTTCAAGATTTCGTGTAAACCTCCTTGGGTAAACAGCTCTTAACCTTCTGTCAATTGCAATAGATGCTAAAAATAGATTTCTGAACCTTTTAAAAGGATTATCTACACTTTTCAAACGTGAAAACAGCTTAACCGCTATCCCTCAAAAAGCCACTTAATAGGTCTTTTGCCAACATCCACTGCAGTTTTCATTTAGGAATAGAGCGGCAAGCGTCTTTCCCTAAGTGGATTACCTTTAAAAATCATTTCGGTGCCAAAAACATGTACTGTTTTTTTTTTTTTTTGAACAAAGTGGCTGTTGATTACAGCAAGTGGAATACAATCGAAGCCAGGAGAAAGATGATTTGTAATTATCTGGTTAAATAAATTTATAGAAGAAGACAACGCGGAAATGTAACAGGAGAATATGAAAGTCAGATAAAAGTTTAAAGTTATTTCAAAATAAAAGTGTATAAAAGTTGAGAACTGAATCCCTTGTGTTTTTAAACCTCACCATACAATAGTAAAAGGTGATTTCAGAAATTATAATTAAGTTGCATAAAACAAAATTTACGTTTTAAAAGGCGAGCTGAACTAACGTACGTTTACGATTTTTCAAGCACCATTGTTTTATTTGTTAAGGTTCAACAGTGTAAATTGTAAGTTAAACGCTTTAGATATATAATTATTTGTTATATTAATTCTCTTCATTTATTGGTGTTTTTTCTACATTTGTTGTACTGGTTAGCATCCACATAAGTTATTGCTTATTTTTATTCCACTATATCTAGTCTTATAAAAGACCACATTCAAATTCAACTTGTCATGAACAACTTAAGATGGATAGAAACACATCCGAAACTTTTTAAGGCTGTTAAAAGGTTTCTTGGAACCGGCAGGAGAGGGGTTTGTCGAAACATACATGTATCTTGTCTTTTGTTGCTATGAATCGTCACATATTTATAACAAAGGTCTGCGTTATATTCCTTCTGGTGGCTACAAATGTGTAAAATGCGGGCATTAGGCAGATACATAACCTGTCTGACACAAAAATTGTCAAGTTTCTTTTAATAATTGAGCTCTGTCTACCAAACAAGATTACACTTTAGTCCCAAGCACCGCTTTTTATAAATTTAAGTTAGTCCACATTTGATTGCTTTTACGTCGAAGAAAAAAAACACTCAAACGTAGAAAGGTAATGTATTTAAATATGTATGTCTCTAAACCATGCTAACTAGCCGGCGCCTTTGTACGACAAACTCTTAAAATTAATTCAAAATTTAATTAATTAGTACTGCCTCTATCAGTTGATATTCTTTAGTGTCGTTCGCTGTTTTCTTACGTACAGGGAAAATTACAAGGAAAATTATGAAAGTATAATTACAACATCCCTAAATTCGACTTCTAGCATTTATGGG